ATAAGGGTTTATATATATATATATATATATATATATATATTATATTATATATATATATATTATATTTTTTTTTTCTTTTTTTTTTTTTTTACCTCCTTTTCCACCTGAGAAAGCCATAATCTCTCTCTATCTCTCTCTCTCTTCACCTACCCAGCTGCAGACTTTATACTGACGTCGATGATTTGTAATGCATTTCTCATATCCGGTGTAGACGCTACGTTCAACCCCTTCCCAGAATATACCCGTATATATTTTGGGCTAGCCCTGAATAATGCTCGGGGCATAATAAGGCCTAGCCTTCGGACTTTAGAGTAGACTAGTCTAAACTATAGACCTATCTCCTTAGTTGGGAACTTTCGAGCTGCATCAGTTCTTGTTACGTTTAGGAAGATTATTGAAAAGATTGTGTAACCGTATCACAGGATTTATAACTGAGAATGTTATAATTAACAAATCTCAGTGTGGTTTCATAAGAAACAGACCTACTGAACTGGCTATAACTGACTTTTCAAATGATATTTTAAATGCTTTGGTGATACTAAATTCACATAAGGAATATTTCTTGACCTGGCAAAAGCTTTCGATACAATAAGTCACACCATTTTACCAGGTACACTTAAACACTACGGTATCCGTGGTAAATTATATGACTTGATCATCTTTAACAAAACGGAGGCAGTTTGTTTGTTTTAAGAAACATATCTCCTCAAAATCACATTAGTTACGGTGTTCCCCAGGGTTCAACTCTAGGCCCTGTTCGTTTTCTAATATATATCAATGATATAGTTAACTCCTCTAGACTCGGTTTCATTACATATGCAGACGATACATGCACATTATCTTCAATTCGGTCTATACAAGAATTAATAAACATAGCAAATAATTGATTAGTATCAGCAAGTAGATTTGGCTAAATAAACTAACCCTCGATATAGACAAGACCCCATTACATATTTCACAGGAATAAAAGAATGCCAAATTCCCTCCCAGGCATCACCCTGGGAACATGTTATAAAACGTGAAATAACAACGAAGTTTCTTGATATATATTTAGATCAGTAACTGAACTGGAAATGCCATATTAATCACATTCAATCAAAGATTGATATGCAGAGCGGCTTAATGCCCCATTCGAAACAAGCATTAAATAAACACGCTTTGAAACAGATTTACACTTCTTTTATATACTCACACTTAACGTATTGCCAAAGTTTGGGGTGGAACGCATAGAAACACTTCAAATTTCATATGCGTAAAAAAAGAAAAAAAAGAAAAAAAAAAGTTCGTACAATTTTAGGATTAAAGAAGTTCGATCATACCCATGAAGGATTTACTGATCCCAAGCCTTTAAAACCAAGTGAAATAAATGTATGTTGTTTACATATTTTAAATGTCTTAATGTTGTAGGAAATACAGTGTTTAGTTTTAGGATAAATCAGAGGTATTCTATGAGACAATAATCTACTGAATGTTTTGTACAGTCTCTACAATCTCGGTCAAACATCGTTTATCAAACTTTATTCATTTAAATACAAATTAAAATATTACCTGTTACCTTTCTTCTACCCGTTTATGTTTTATGTATAATATTCTCTGTACTTTCTCTTTATTGGTCAACCTTCTATTGCTTCACTTTGTGTTACTTCTACAAAGTTTTCTAGCTTTGTAAACTGCTTAAAGGCTAAATCCTGTATGTATATACTCATGTAATATATATTACATTTATTACCTATATAATATACATATATAAATAGTTTTGTATATATGTATTCTTCAGATATTCTTCAGGATCTTAATAAGAGAGTTGTTACTCCCTGAAGGCCCAGCCATGTATCATTATATATATTTTAACTTCAATGTAATTACTGTCGTATGACTAAATAAATGTTTTGATTCTGATTCTGATTCTGACTCGCTTCCACTCAACAGTTCATGAATGTCTGTCTCGATGTGTGGCTAATTATTTTTATGGATTCAATGTATCTCTAACTCACTCATTAGAGGCTCACTGAGTGAGTGTTGTCGGATTGTCGATAAAATACCCTTTCTTTGTTTTACCAAAACTGTAGTTCGTACTGTAAATATCTGGCGTTTCTCATGCATGCAAAGGTCGTGTCACTTCATATACAGAAAGGGCCACCTTTGAAGGCCATCTAATTTGTAATTAGTTTTTGGTCAACAAATTTGAATCATTTTGATACAAATGTTTTTGGGTCATTTTTATATCATTACGTCACCCCATGACGTCATGAAATCAACGTTTTGACGTCATTTGATGTGACTTGATAAGAGCAGTCAAACAATACAGTTTAAAGTCTCAAAATAAAACATAGCATCCGCTAGACCGGAATTTTAAAATTCGTCGTATCTCAATTTTCAGAGTCTCTGAAATGTATACGCGTTTTACGACCGTTAGAGATACAGCAGATTCGCTATATAGCAAAATAAATTTCAGACGATTTGCTTACCTTGAAAATTCGCTTATTTTTTCTCGCAGAATCCGTCTTAGGAGTCAAATTTTGCGTAGAAAAAATTTGGTCTGAGACAAAAATAAATTACGACGGTTGTTAAGACTTAGAAAGTAGTTTGCTAGCCTATTACCCGCCGATGGGTTTTATTCAAGGCAAACATTACAAAAAATCGTGTAGTTCTGTGTATTTTTCGAAATTGTAAGCTTGGTCAAAATCGATCTCTTCCCCTCTATCCCCTCGGCATTCGTCTGAATTATTGCAAAACAAGTCGGTTCTCTAATTTCCAAACCATTAGCCGGTTGAAGTTTTCACTTGACACAGTTCTTCATATCATGCTAGAGTCCCAATAAACCTAAGGACGTCATATGATTATGTTTTAGATCGAGTTATGGGCGTGGGAAAAACGCGAAAATGGCCATTTTTTCATATTTCTTATAACTGCATTTTGGCAAGCGGTTGAGTTTTCGGGTTTGGGGCCACCTTTGCGCTTGCCAGCGCAGTGATAAACCTTAGTAGGAGCATGTGAAGCGTGTCATATGGCTACTTTGTTATGCTTTAGAAAAATATTCCATGGAATTTAGTGATGCCATATGGCAACAAATCAATGAAAGAGTTATAACCAGGTGTGATATGCAGCACACGTCATGCGTTGTCCTATATGATTTCGTTTTATTTTCCTGTGTCGAACGTGTCACATACCGAAAAGAAACCTCTATCGTTCTATTTACACCTAGCTATTTCAGACCATCCATCGTCCAAGGATCGAATCATAAAATTAGATTACAAAGTTACAAAACGCTCACCTGCTAGCTTTACGACACCTGCACCAACTGCTAGCTTACCACTTGGCTTGACTCAGTCCCTACATACTTATATTGCACAATCAGTTGTTGTGTATCTCTTATATATAATGTGTATGTGAAAAGAGCTATGTAAAAAGGGAACAAATATATATACTCTATGCTGACGTGGCTTTTGCAATTGTGGTTTCGCAGGAAAGTGTACTGGGCGCAAGTAGTCTTTGGAGACACCCAAACCATGACTTCAAACTTGAGAATGGCCTAGAAAAGCTGAAATTCTTTTTTCTGCAATAAACCACAGCAAAAGAAAAGAAAAGAGAAAAAAAGACTTTTGTTACACAGTGAAAATAATTCAATATTCCGGAAAATTGCTTCACAAATGCTTTTTACATTTAACTAGAAACCAAGAAAAATGAAGATCTAAAAAAAAAAAAAAAAAAAAAAAAAAAAAAAATATATATATATATATATATATATATATAAATATATATATATATATATATATATACATACATATATATATATATATATATATATATATATAATATATATATATAATCATATAATTTCATATAGAATCGTATACAATTTTACAGTCACTTCACGAATAGGTCAAACGCTATCATTTAAACTTTTCTATATTCAGGTAGAAATCTAGGTCATATATATATATATTATATATATATATTATATATATATATAATATATACATATATATATTTTTTCTGTAGCCTATAGAAAGATTATGCCTCATGATTTCGTTATCTCTCACTAAACAGATACAAAGATTCAGCTCGTTACACATGATCTATCTTTGAATGAAAATTACGTCTGATTTTTCGTATCATATTTAGAAATTTTCATTGTGGAGCAGAGTAGTGTGTCCATACGCATCTAAATCCAGGAAAAATAAAATAATCCAATGTTTCTAAGCCATGAAGCTAATGAAACATCAGATTGTCGTAATATTTTGGTTTAGTCCTCGAAGTACATTAATTCCAAGTAAGGCACTATTTCCCCCTAAATATGGTTAAAAGTTTTACTTATTTTTGTTTTTCTTATTTTCCCCGAAATTCCCTACCTCCTTGCTTAAGAAAATAATAGTGTGAGAAATGCGATGTTAAACTTGACTCATCGTTATAAATCATGTAAAATGGTCTAATCATTTAGAACGAAAATACATAAACGAAAACGAAATTTCGGAAGAGACTGTTACCTACTGCGCCCCTTAACCCGCGAAGGAAACGCATTTCGACCTATCGTTCATGGGGGTGGGGGAGTCATGCATGCTCGAGTACGGGCTCCCATACCTGTCCAACAGAAAAAAAAAAAGTTTAGTTTACCATGTGTAAGCATTAGAAATACCGACAATTTGACATAAGAAAAACAAACTTATGTGCACCTTTATTTATCTGTTTATTCAATCAAAGGGACACGACGAAGCGGAGTACTCCAGAGTCCGTCGTGAAATGCTATGCTATCACGTTCATAAGAACGTGATAAAGGGAAAAATGAGCCTCTAACTTCGGCAAGTCCAAGACCGACGCTGTAGTGGTGGCTTCGTCACTCTTATGACTTTTGGCACATTTCTTGCACGGAAAGGAATCGCTTTCCATTGTAAAAACCTGTGAGGAACGCTTGCTCTCTAGCTTTCTGTAAATAGCCTTGGAAGAGCAGTATTCGCCAAAATGAGCTAGTTTCTCACATGCCTCGAAATGACAGTGTGGCC